AACTTAAAATTAATTATTTATTACTTACAGGAAAATGTATATACTTTACTTATATAGATCTTTAAAATTTAATGGCACTTATGAACCTTTTAAAGTTGTAATATTTTACTTACTCAGTTTAAAACAAAAATATAAATAAAAACTTACGTGGTACTATATATATAGTATTATTATCTTTAATTTTAATTAAAGGTGAATTTACTTTAATAGCTATAAAAGCTAATAACTTAAAATGAAAATATGTTATGAACGTTATGGTGTACATTTGTAAAACGGAGTCAAAAGATTCGGTTTTGACATTCATTCACTACTTTTGAATTATTAATTTTGAACAATTTAAGATATATTCTATATTATTCAGGAGATTTTCTTCCGCAAACATCCTACTTAACAAATTAAACCACAAACAAGTTGTAATAATTGTATTTATTTAGAAATAGGCTATTTTAGCACTGTTATTTGTTTGTTTGTCCGAATATTCTACATGTTGTTCAACAATAAAATATGTTCTCGATATGATGACTATTATGTATATTATCATAAACTAAWTCAAATTTAAGTGCTTCTAAGTAAGTTCTAATCATGYTCTTCTTTTCATTTTTTTGTCCAAKCTTTAAATATGTATACGATACTTAATATTTATAGACTTATACAATTATTCGTTTATTTTTATTATAAAAATACGCAATTATATTCTTATTTATATATATTTTTTTAAGTCGTTAAATGTTTCTTTTTTAATAATAATAAATCATACGTGCATAATAATTTGCATGAAATCTATAGACGATTTCAATTTTTAAAAAATAATAGTAATTTATTGATTACTTAATTGAAAACATACGATCATAATAACAAATTCTCAAATTAAGATCAATTATTTGATTTCCAATAAATCAATAATTTATTATTATTCAAATATTGTGAAACAACATTTTAAAAGTACATMTTTCCTGTTGGCTCTTTGGGCACGTGTCGATGATGCTTTTTAACTCCTATGAACAATTCATAACATATAATGAGTAGGTAGTAAATAATATAAATTAAGGAAGTCACTAGTTAGATATATATGATGATTTCAATAATACGAATAAAATAAATAMATTTTTAAATTTCTAGTTTTTTAAGTAATATTTTAATTTAACTTATATTGCTAAAATGTTTTTTGAATAATGATAATTTGCATTAATATTTAAAAAAAATCAACAATAAAATAGTATGTGCGTATAACAATATAACACAACATGTACTTATAATTTAMTTAACATAAAGCTTAACTAACGTTGAAGTCAGAAGTTACATGAAATGTTATTTACTCTCAAAGAATATAAATAATTTCATTCAAAACAAAATAGTTTGTCTAAAAGAAACACATATATACTGATTACCTATTACATTTTTTAATTATAGACGAAACTATAAACAATAGGTTATTATTCCAAGGTATTTTATAAAATTAATATTATCATTAAAATATGATTTAACGGATGTTTTTTAATCTTGAGTAAAATGTATGATGTAATCGGTGAAACCATGATTAGATACTATTATAAGATAAGATTACGCAAACAGTAGATTAGTAACGCAACTTTTGTTTGTTGCCTTAGTAATATACGTGTTTATAATTTTAAGCTATTCAAAATTTAAAAAATTTAATATATTTACGAAAATTATATGGAAGACTGTCCATTGGATAAAGCAAAATTAGGTAAGTCAAATTATCACGTTATTTACAATATAAGTTTTATTAATAAGTTATTCTATGCATACGGATGGATCACCAATATTTATCACAATCTCGCCGCTATAGCTTTCTTTTGAGGCAACTAAACGAAACTCAAACAGT